CAGGGTAAAGAGTAAGAACAACATTGTGGAGAAAATGCGGACCTGCTGGCCAGGTTTATTCCTTACAAAATCCTTATCCTGATCCCATCCCAGTGCTATATAGTCGTAATGGCTTGGCGCTTTCCCCTGATAGTTGCTTGCTAGCCAAGTTTATCATTGTGTTGAGAACCCGGTCTAAAACTGACCTAAGAGAGGTATGGGAGGTATGAATTTTGTACCTTTCCTGGGATCCTTTTGCATGCACCTTGCGTATGATAAGTCTAAAGCCATGCATGACATAGAGAATCTTGCAACATCCCATCAGCAGCATATTATGCAGAGTTCTCCATCTGAACATGTCGAGCCATTTTGACTCCTAAGAAAGAAATTTACAATTCACAAATTTCTACAAGAAGTTCCTACAAGTAATTTAGGTCAAACTGCTGCAGATATTCTAAATGAAAACTAGAAAAGGCGTCCATCAAATGAACAAATCCACAAGGGCCATGATGAGGGTTCGAATCAACCTGCTTAGGACTGGGCCTGCTTAGCGTCCCCGCGGTCCAGTCCTCGACCAGGCCTCCTTTTTGTTACACACTCCCAGGAAGCAGCCCGTAGCAGCTGTCTAACTCCCAGGTACCTATTTACTGCTAGGTAACATGGGCATTAGGGTGAAAGAAACTCTGCCTATTTGTTTCCTCCTCCACCGGGGATCGAACCCGAAACCTCAGGACTACGAATCCGAAACGCTGTCCACTCAGCTGCCAGGCCTCTAATAACATATTCAAATAAAATGAAAAACATTTTTGAATGTAAGACAGTTTCTGTCTTACATTCAAACAAAGGAAGAATTGACATATTATCTGGTAGAGTTATATTTCTGTTATATCTGTTATATTTCTTATTTAAGCACCTGGTCGACGAGGCCTGGTCGAGAACCGGGCCGCGGGGATGCTAAGCCCCGAAATCCTATCAAGGTAATCTCAAGGTAACGTGTGTGGTCTAGTGTGTGGTCGACCAGACCACACACTAGAAGGTGAAGGGACGACGACGTTTCGGTCCGTCCTGGACCATTCTCAAGTCGACTTGAGAATGGTCCAGGATGGACCGAAACGTCGTCGTCCCTTCACCTTCTAGTGTGTGGTCTGGTCAACATACTTTAGCCACGTTATTTTGACTCATCGCCTGCAAACGCTTCGTCCTCCAAAGACAGTTTTGGCATCTGATCTTCAGATTCCACATGCCTTTGGAGCACTTGGAAGGTAAGAAAATCTCCCTAATGATGAAACTGGGAAAGCTTGGGGAGAGATTTGAGATGCAGACTTTACAATCCAAGATCAGCAGACACTCCGCTTTTGAGCCAATCACTCCGATGTTGTGAGTTTTGTGATGTCCCTGCTGTTGTCACTGACGTTCGCTGGTACATGTTTTCACAGAAGCGTGCACAAGGGGAAGACTACCACTGACCCTTGAAACACTTACGCCACACACATCGCGAGCACATTACGTGACCAGGCCTGGGTCCGTGGTGATGGTCCACACCCAGAATTACCATCCCCAACCAACTACGAGGGCGAAGGAGAGCAAGCGAAGGCTGTCATCCTTATGGTGCCTCAGCACCACAATCTGTCGTGCTGGTGATAAAATGCTGGTGTCAGGAGGGAGGCGCCGCTGGCAGGCGTAGCTGCCTCAGTGGCTTGTGGTCAGCACTTTGGTAGCATAACAGAGGATGTCAACACATCCCACGTTCAGGGGTACAGAGGATGTAAATAGGTACCTGGGTGTTAGTCAGCTGTCACGGGCTACTTCCTGGGGGTAGAGGCCTGGTCGAGGACCGGGCCGCGGGGACACTAAGCCCCGAAATCATCTCAAGATAAGATGAATACAGTCACTAGTTAAAGACTTTTTTGTTCAGAAAGAACTGTTCATAATTGAGAGAGGTATTTAACATTCACAATGTGCTGAAATGCTGTATTTTTTATGTTGCCACATATGTGCTTTTTGTTCAAAGGAAGACAAAAAGAATGACTTAAATGTATATTTACAGCTTTGTTTGCATTTTATCATAACAATTGGCCTAATTTATATATAAAATTATTTTATAATTCATACCAGACCATGACTCACATCAGTCACATTTATTTCATATAAAATATGCTATATGGACCCTTGTGATGGCCACAATAATGCTACATAGTATAGCACTACCTTATAGTCATCTCTATATCTATAGTTACACCATATAACTATAGATAAACTATAATTTATTTATTGCTATAAATTTACAATTTTTATTTTCAATAAAAAAATTTAACAAATACCAAAGCCATTCTTCTTGGTTATCTTGAGATGATTTCGGGGCTTAGCGTCCCCGCGGCCCGGTCCTCGACCAGGCCTCCTTTTTGTTTCACACACCCCCAGGAAGCAGCCCGTAGCAGCTGTCTAATTTCCAGGTACCTATTTACTGCTAGGTGAACAGGGACATCAGGGTGAAAGAAACATTTTGCCAATTTGTCTCCGCCTCCACCGGGAATCGAACCCGGAACCTCAGGACTACGAATCCGAAGCGCTGTCCACCCAGCTGTCAGGCGCCTCCAATGGTCTTCTTCAGAACATTAGGACCCCATTATATAGCCTGGACCGTGTCTTGAACATAAGGGGCCCCATTATATAGCCTGGACCGTGTCTTGAACATAAGGGACCCCATTATATAGCCTGGACCATGTCTTGAACATAAGGGACCCCATTATATAGCCTGGACCGTGTCTTGAACATAAGGGACCCCATTATATAGCCTGGACCGTGTCTTGAACATAAGGGACCCCATTATATAGCCTGGACCGTGTCTTGAACATAAGGGACCCCATTATATAACCTGGACCGTGTCTTGAACATAAGGGGCCCCATTATATAGCCTGGACCGTGTCTTGAACAATTATATAAGGGGCCCCATTATATGGCCTGGACCGTGTCTTGAACAATTATATAAGGGGCCCCATTATATAGCCTGGACCGTGTCTTGAACAATTATATAAGGGGCCCCATTATATAGCCTGGACCGTGTCTTGAACAATTACATAAGGGCCCCATTATATAGCCTGGACCGTGTCTTGAACAATTACATAAGGGACCCCATTATATAGCCTGGACCGTGTCTTGAACAATTATATAAGGGACCCCATTATATAGCCTGGACCGTGTCTTGAACAATTATATAAGGGGCCCCATTATATAGCCTGGACCGTGTCTTGAACAATTATATAAGGGGCCCCATTATATAGCCTGGACCGTGTCTTGAACAATTACATAAGGGACCCCATTATATAGCCTGGACCGTATCTTTAACAATTATATAAGGGACCCCATTATATAGCCAGGACCGTGTCTTGAACAGAAGGGGCCCCATTATATAGCCTGGACCGTGTCTTGAACAGAAGGGGCCCCATTATATAGCCTGGACCGTGTCTTGAACATAAGGGGCCCCATTATATAGCCTGGACCGTGTCTTGAACATAAGGGGCCCCATTATATAGCCTGGACCGTGTCTTGAACATAAGGGGCCCCATTATATAGCCTGGACCGTGTCTTGAACATAAGGGACCCCATTATATAGCCTGAACCGTGTCTTGAACATAAGGGGCCCCATTATATAGCCTGGACCGTGTCTTGAACATAAGGGACCCCATTATATAGCCTGGACCGTGTCTTGAACAACTACATAAGGGGCCCCATTATATAGCCTGGACCGTGTCTTGAACAACTACATAAGGGGCCCCATTAAATAGCCTGGACCGTGTCTTGAACAACTACATAAGGGGGCCCCATTATATAGCCTGGACCGTGTCTTGAACATAAGGGGCCCCATTATATAGCCTGGACCGTGTCTTGAACATAAGGGGCCCCATTATATAGCCTGGACCGTGTCTTGAACATAAGGGGCCCCATTATATAGCCTGGACCGTGTCTTGAACATAAGGGGCCCCATTATATAGCCTGGACCGTGTCTTGAACATAAGGGGCCCCATTATATAGCCTGGACCGTGTCTTGACCATAAGGGGCCCCATTATATAGCCTGGACCGTGTCTTGAACATAAGGGGCCCCATTATATAGCCTGGACCGTGTCTTGAACAACTACATAAGGGGCCCCATTATATAGCCTGGACCGTGTCTTGAACATAAGGGGCCCCATTATATAGCCTGGACCGTGTCTTGAACAATTATATAAGGGGCCCCATTATATAGCCTGGACCGTATCTTGAACAACTACATAAGGGGCCCCATTATATAGCCTGGACCGTGTCTTGAACATAAGGGGCCCCATTATATAGCCTGGACCGTGTCTTGAACAATTATATAAGGGGCCCCATTATATAGCCTGGACCGTGTCTTGAACAACTACATAAGGGGCCCCATTATATAGCCTGGACCGTGTCTTGAACATAAGGGGCCCCATTATATAGCCTGGACCGTGTCTTGAACAATTATATAAGGGGCCCCATTATATAGCCTGGACCGTGTCTTGAACAATTATATAAGGGGCCCCATTATATAGCCTGGACCGTGTCTTGAACAGAAGAGCGTTTATAGATTGTTACATTTGGTTGAATAACATTTTTCATGGGTCGTTTTAATCCCGGTTCCTATTAGTTTAGGTTAGTCTTAAGCGCTTTGATGCCTCGATTGTCATTTGTCTCTGTCTCGATTGTTACTTTTTGTAAGTACATCAAGACGGAAAGTGCAATGCCGGGTAGATGGGGACGAGGGAATGCACTTAAGTGAGCTGAATGTTGATAGTTGAATGGGAATGTTTAATGTGAACGATCACTAAAATACTTTATGGATGTCTCTATTGTGTGATCAGTAATGCTACCGTAATGACCTCCAATTGATCACTAGGTGTAGAAGTCAACAAGATTGATCAATAACTCCATAATATTCGACCTAATAAGCAGTCGCTTCAGGTAAGTAATTTTAATAAATCTGGATTTGTTGATGTATGAAGGCCAGAGAAATACAGAATATATACATACAACTTTACTTCCAATTACTGTACATGATTCAACAGTTGTGTATAAACGCACATACACAACACCTATACGTACATTCTCATAATTAAAATACCTACAACATGCCCTCTATAAACAAAAATATCATTTTGACAATGAGACTTTTCACAATGATATGAAGTGATGATGGTGATCATTTTAGTTTTCTTTGCTTGCAACTGGTGAACTTTGCAGACTCTTAATCATGTCTATACTAATTCAATTTGAGAAGATTAATTTAATTGAACCAATCTATACCAATTTAATTTAACTTGTTTTACTGAGGTAAATAAAGTCATTTTGACTCTTGTTAAGAGACTTGAGAGCTTTCTTCCGTCTATATGTAGATGAACCTAAACATAGACATAACTGATTTGTCAAAATATAATTCAATTATCAACATCAAATCAGAAATGATACAAAGAAAAGAAATGAACAATTTAAAATGAAGTACTATTTTGCAAATGCCAATAGCTGCTACAAGGAAGAATATGCATGAATATGATGTCATTATACATTCATAACAAACAATTTCCCCTTCGTAACAGCCTGTTTCCATGTTCCAGGACTCACATTTAACAAAACAGTTGTCTGAACTTCCAAGTAATGTATGAACGTGTAAATAATTGCGATGACTATGTACAAACAATATGAATAATTATAATAATAGAATGCATTACAGTAATAATACCAGAATATGTGCACATAAGTGGTCTAATTTTATATTCTAATTTAGGTTTCTGAGAGTTGTAGAACTGACAACATTTTTAATACAACTGTATAATTATAATATTGGTTGAAGAACCAGATCCATGATGATATATTATGTTCATTGCTTAGGTAGCTTATGGTTTACTGGGTAATCTCAGTGAAGACTCTCCATGCTGTAAACCTCATTCACAGAATACTCACTTAACAGATTTTAAGTTATAAGTAATATAAGCTCGCTCACACTTAGCTATCCTGAGAATCAATCCACTTTCTCAAGCATTCACGGCATATATATGAGGTACATTGTAAGCTTACACACACACACACACACACACACACACACACACACACACACACACACACACACACACACACACGAACATCAGTACATTATCATGGATATACAATGGTCTTCAACGATCAAAGATTTATGAAGAAAATATCAATTTGTACTCTTTGAGAAATTACTAATATATGGAGAGCCCTTAATTAACAACAATGATGGAGTTTGGTGTTGGTGCTTAGATAACAAAGACTGATGAGATCATTACCTTGTCTCACAGAGAGCTTGCTCTTCTCTTAGAGTAACGATCAACTGATGACTGTAAGATGGTTAACACTATCATGGTCAACACTATTACTTCTTCTACAGCATTGTGTTCCTAAATAACTCAATTAATTTCAAAATGTACTACGACAATTAGTAAACGAAATGAAAAATTTGATTGAATGCAAAATATAATTTCCTGACATAATTCATAAGTACGTTAAAATAGTATTTTTTTTTAGTTTTTCTTTATGAAAATAATATACAGTACATTATATATAAATAGGTATAAACTTTATGGGGTACATCGTGTTCATTGTGGGAATGTACCAATTTCATGTGAAGTCACTGAGAAAACACTATGTTTGTTAGTGAAAATGGACACCTAGTGCAGTTCAGTTCTTGACACTGTGTGCTAGTAAGCACTGTGGCTGATCTTGACACTGTGTGCTAGTAAGCACTGGCTGATCTTGACACTGTGTGCTAGTAAGCACTGTGGCTGATCTTGACACTGTGTGCTAGTAAGCACTGTGGCTGATCTTGACACTGTGCTAGTAAGCACTGTGGCTGATCTTGACACTGTGTGCTAGTAAGCACTGTGGCTGATCTTGACACTGAGTGCTAGTAAGCACTGTGGCTGATCTTGACACTGTGTGCTAGTAAGCACTCTGGCTGATCTTGACACTGTGTGCTAGTAAGCACTGTGGCTGATCTTGACACTGTGTGCTAGTAAGCACTGTGGCTGATCTTGACACTGTGTGCTAGTAAGCACTGTGGCTGATCTTGACACTGTGTGCTAGTAAGCACTGTGGCTGATCTTGACACTGTGTGCTAGTAAGCACTCTGGCTGATCTTGACACTGTGTGCTAGTAAGCACTGTGGCTGATCTTGACACTGTGTGCTAGTAAGCACTGTGGCTGATCTTGACACTGTGTGCTAGTAAGCACTGTGGCTGATCTTGGCACTGTGTGCTAGTAAGCACTGTGGCTGATCTTGGCACTGTGTGCTAGTAAGCACTGTGGCTGATCTTGACACTGTGTGCTAGTAAGCACTGTGGCTGATCTTGACACTGTGTGCTAGTAAGCACTGTGGCTGATCTTGACACTGTGTGCTAGTAAGCACTGTGGCTGATCTTGACACTGTGTGCTAGTAAGCACTGTGGCTGATCTTGACACAGTGTGCTAGTAAGCACTGTGGCTGATCTTGACACTGTGTGCTAGTAAGCACTGTGGCTGATCTTGGCACTGTGTGCTAGTAAGCACTGTGGCTGATCTTGACACTGTGTGCTAGTAAGCACTGTGGCTGATCTTGGCACTGTGTGCTAGTAAGCACTGTGGCTGATCTTGACACTGTGTGCTAGTAAGCACTGTGGCTGATCTTGGCACTGTGTGCTAGTAAGCACTGTGGCTGATCTTGACACTGTGTGCTAGTAAGCACTGTGGCTGATCTTGGCACTGTGTGCTAGTAAGCACTGTGGCTGATCTTGACACTGTGTGCTAGTAAGCACTGTGGCTGATCTTGGCACTGTGTGCTAGTAAGCACTGTGGCTGATCTTGACACTGTGTGCTAGTAAGCACTGTGGCTGATCTTGACACTGTGCGAGTAAGCACTTTTGCTAATCTTGATACTCTGTACTAGCAAGCTCTGTGATTGAACTTTGCACTGTTTGCATTTTGATATTCAATTATTCTTTCCTGCTAAATGAAGTATGATAATGCGTTAAAACTATATTTTTATTCATATATGAATCTTATATAGATTTCTGATAAAATATAAAAGACACATTCCAGCTGTAAATACATTACATTGACTAGACAGAAATAGGAATGAATATCTAGAAAATAAACTAAAATTTATTACATTGAATGTTAAGCCTCATTCATTACTCTCAAACACAAAATGTTAAGAACACTTACTGGATATCTTTAATGACTTCAAAATACTAAACCATATTGTCAGAAAGTGTGTAAAGGGCACACATGCACCGCTTACTGTCAACTGTGGTAACCTTCCTCTACTCTCACATGTTACTTCTACTGGTTGCCTTTTTATAACTAAAGTTTGATCACTAAGTTTTACTACAGTTTTAGTCTTACTGGCATTAATAACATGCCTTTTATTCAACACAAATGGTTATAACAAGGATGTCATTATTTCTTCTTGGTTCAGTTTTCTTAAGATAATAGTATGTATACTACAGATGTAAGTGTTAAATCTTGAGCTATTTTGATGTAGCTCTTTCATAATAACTGCAATATTATCTATAGACTGGTCTAAAAATTTTGGGTCCACAACTAAAAATTACTTTTAAAAAGACAGCTGCACATATATATCAGACCCAGATTACTTAGTTCCAATCTGGTACAATTTAGTTGAACTTTACCTTTCACAATTCTGTACTCATAAAGTAACATCCTCTTAGTACAAGTTGTGTCTGTTATAGAGACAACTAACGTAGTGAGACAGGATGGCATTAACTATGAAAACAATGAATCAGTTATCTGTACGAGACAACAGAATGTATGTGCATTACTGACCTACATGGTGTTCTCATGGCAAAGCAAGCAATACACATTCAACTTGCAAGACTGTGTCTGGTCTTAATACAAAAATATAATTAAACTGACATTTTACATCTGTACTAAGCCTTTCACCCATCCAAAACATTCTGCAACACTTCATCAATAATAGGTAAGGTCACAGCCAATGTATCCAGAGGAAAACAAAAATAATGACAATAAAAATTTAGCCAGAGCTGCAGTATTTAGACCAGCAAAATACTAACCCTATGACACAAAACATCTAGATCCATGGAAATACACTTCCATATCACTCAGCATAGGAGGGAAATAACAGTAATGAGCCCAAGTCAACTAACTCTTCATTATGTCAGTATATCAAGATCATTTGTGATATAAATTAAAATGATCCACTGGCCACAACTGAAAGTGGACATCAAAAACAGTTTGGTCATTAAATGAACGAATATATCATATGACATTATAGCTCAATACTGATTCCTTCTTGGACCTTATAGCATGTAAAGACTGGCACCATGAAGGCGTTGTCCACGTGTACTGCCAATTGCGTATTAGCATGGCTACATCACAAGATAACATGGCATTATTACATATAAAAGTCCACATATATTTTTTTAAATACACATAGTGTCAGCGTTAAGAGAAATATAAAACAGCAATGCCAGACAAAAATTGGTTGCAGAAGTCAGCTTTACATCTTAATGAGTACATCTTATGCTCCATATCACGTTGCTTAACTTTCACAATAATTTAAAAAGCTTCCTGATGATTTAAAACACATTTGTTTGCAAGTCGTTTCTTGATTTGAAACTATCATATCACATGATTGTACATGAAGCAGTGCAGAATATGCAGGACACTCGCTATACACCTTCATGAAGCATGTACACAATGCTGTTATGCTGGCGACCATACACCTACCATCTTGCACTCAACCTGTACATTACCTACATACATGTTTTGCCTAACTAACCTAAGTGTCATTCAGCACTGGATTTGGTATGTTACCTTAAGCATGAGTCTTTTAATATCTTCAAACACTATTGGCCCCATATGCTGTTTGCTTGAAGATAGCCGTTATCTCATCAATGGAACGGCCTTTAGTTTCAGGTACTTTAAACCAGGTGAAGATAATGAATCCAATCAAGAGACCCACGAAAATCAGGAATACGTAAGGACCCACCAGCTGTTGGAATAACATTAATATGTCAGTGACATGGAATTCAGAAACTAATTATTAATTAAATTTGTTTTGTTACATGAACAATGTACAATACATATTATCTAATCAATATTTCAAAATGATTGTGAATTACAAAATAAATTACATTATTTTTTTATTTCTTACCTCTTGAAGTGGCAAGAATCCAAGTCCAACGAGGAAGGCAGCTGTCCAGTTCACTGCAACAGCGATGGACGAGGCTATTGGACGAGCATTCTGAGCAAAGAGCTCAGTGACTAGGAACCAGGGAATGGAGCCAGGGCCAGTTGCAAACATCACCACAAAGAAGATCACGAGGAAGATGGAGAGGTAGCTGATCCAGGGTGCAGTATCCTTCAACAGAAGGCAGATGAAGAGGAGGAAGACATCAACAACCATGCCACTCAAACCTGCCAGCATGAGGGTCTTACGGCCAAACTTCTCAACCATTACAAGGGAGGCAAATGTCATAAGCACATTCATTGTTCCCATAGCAATGGTTGCATTCAAGGAAGCTTCTTCACTCAGGCCAGCGGACTTGTATATCTCCGTTGAGAAGAAAATGACCTGTAAAGCAACAAATTACAACATTAAATTCTTTTTATTTTTCGTATATATACTAAATATATCTCAAGTGCGTACATAAAAACGTATGATAGATTGTACTATTAAGTTAAATAAACATAATTATAAGCAAAGATGTTAATTTTGAAAGATGAACTACCTTTCCAAGCCCATTCTTGAATGGGCTTGGAAAGAAAATTTAAACTTTAAAAGAACAATCTTGTTGGGCAGCAACTCTTCATTGTGAACAAATTTATTGATTAAAAGCCTTTTAATGTGCAACACTAACTGGCCTCGTGAAAAATTGTTTAGAACGTGTCTTATGAACCATCAAAGAACTCGTTGCAAAATAAGAATCAAACATTATCTTATTATTAAAGTGGATAATGCAACTTACAGCATTAATGCCAGACAGTTGTTGAGCCATCATCATCATCAGTGAGATAACGAGAGGGATACGGAGGGTTGGGTTGGTGAGAATCTCCCTCATGGACACAGAAGGCACCAGCTTGGAGGCCTCAGCTTCGTTGCGCATCTCTCCCATCTCATCTTGCACGTTGGTGGTATCCCTGAGCCATGTCAGTGCTGAATAACAGGCAAACATTGTGTTATGACAAAAAATGCCAAGTTAAACCATTACATAATAATAAACGACTAGGTTTGGCTAATTATATAATCTTTACAAATTCATGTATTGGAGATAAACTGATTTGGTTAGTTTGAAACATTTTCACAGAGATAAACAAGTGATTTATTTCTTTGCAATTGTACCAATATAAAATGTTTAGTTTAAAACAAATGTTAGAAACAAACTAAAATAAAATAATAGGTAAAGTAACACTTACCCCTCTGAGATGCAACTGGTTCATCTTTATTGATCAAAAGGAACTTGGGTGATTCTGGACAAACAGGCAAGGCAGCCAACTGGAAGATGGCAGGCAGCCCAGTCAGAGCCAACAAGAGGGGCCACAGTTCGACTGTGCCCAAAATGTTCTCCAATCCCATAATCTGCGAGAACTGCAAATAAACATTATGGTTAGTATTTGGGGATGTGTTTTTGATGTTATATGTGCAGTACTAGGCTCCAATAGGCTGCCGGAACAATTTGTCCTATAATTTCATGTTTCTCTACTGGTCATTTCTTCAGCACTTTCAAAACATTTATACAAAATACAAATTTTAGTCAATATCAACATCTGGAAATAATTCACTGACTTCCTATTAATAATACGATAAATAAAAATAAATGTAATAATACTGATGATTTGGAAAAATAATTGACATATATATATTATTCTCAGTGCATAAACATTAATATTTGGACCTGAACTGCTTACAGTTTATAACAATTTATATAAAGAAGCCAGACGACAGCACTCACCAGTATGGAAATAGTGAGGACCAGCTGGTATGCTGTACCAATTGCACCTCTGAGGTTGACTGGGGCGATCTCTGACAAGTACATGGGACACAACCCGGCATTTAGTCCATTGTTGATCCCAATGACAAACCGTCCAGCTATGAGCATCTCATAAGAGTTAGCCATCTTGCAGAACCCAAAGAGCACAGACGCCACGATAGCAAAGATGTTGTTGATAAGCAATCCGCCCTTGCGTCCAAATCTGATAATAAAAATTAAATGAGCATAAGATTCTCCATAGAAACACTAAAATACTATATTATTCATGTTGAAACTCAACACTATCTCTCCTGGCCATGCAGCTACATTATATAAAGAATATCTGCACACAATATATAGGAAAACTGTAAATACTCGTTTAATATTTGAGGAAGGTGAGAAACATGATAAGGAACTGACCGTTCGGCGAAGAAGCCAGTGAGCGCTCCTCCGATCATGCCACCAATGCAGTAGATGGACACCATGATGGAGATGAGCATCGTCTGCTTCGTCTCAGTCAGGTATTCCTCATTCCGGTCAAAGTTAGTCGTATTCATCCATTCACCAATTAGCTGAAGTATAAAAGAATAGAACAATTAGAGAAACATACATAGATCTTGTGATGAAAACAGATAACAGTGCACATGGAATTAAAATAACCCGCAGAGCTGAAAGATGATTACTACTGTGAAAGCAAAGATTAAAACAACTCTCCACACTCTACAACACCAGCTGCCCCAAGGTCCACACTGACACTGACCACAGTTGAGGAGGTACCTACACATGGCCGCCTCTGGCAACACGCATGTCCTTGAAATATTTATAATCCAAGACGTCCAACGCCCTTATACTTTCCTCCGTATTTACAGATATTACAATAAACATCATGGCGTCTCCGGCCAAGGACGACCCTGATTTGCCACTCTATAGGTTTAGATATTTAATACCATTATAACAGTAGGCAAAGACTCACTGAAGGCTGCCACAATTATTAGGCCCTAAACAAACTACTTTAACAAACACTTTGTTAACAAATACTTTGAGATTGATTAACGAAACTTATTTATAAAGTACTGAATAGTTATTAATATATATTTCATAATAATGCTAATCAAAATATCTATATTTCCCCCCAACCTCCTAAAATGAAAGTACTTATAGTAACTGTGGTGGAAAGTATGACTGGACAACTTTTCGGTTAGAGTAATATGGTTAAGAGTCACGATCAAAACGCCTTGTGTAAAATATTCCTTATAGAAAGGAAATCTTAATTCTCGAATAATCATCGATACAACATTAATATTTATATAACTGACCTCTATTTGGCAGCCCAGTTTGACACTTTATGCATTAACTTCCAATGAGCCAAATTCTTAATGTTAATAGTTTGTCGCTAGTGCTATACTAGCGACTGGGAAGCTGTGTTATGCGCTAAACTTAACACACGATAAATTATACATTTGTATATAGTATAGAGACGGCGCTTAGCTCACAGAAACTTCCACACAAAACATGATTACGAAACAATGCCTACACACAGCCTAGTGCCACTAAGCAAGCCCTTGGTACAGTAACCTGAAGCCCCTGCTCATAGGCAGGTGAGTTACAACAGGCTTTACAACAGGTCCTATGGCATCTAATTCAAGACATTTTAGACTAAGATTGTTTACTTATACATTAAATGTATCACCAAAACGTCTGGAGGATTACTTTATATTTAAGGTAGTTTAGGCTACTTTTATAGGAGACAGTGTTGAAGGCTTGCATGGAAAAAATCCATAAAATTTAGGTGAACGATTTTCTGACAAGCGAAATATTACATATATTGATAGCAACGTCTCTTGTTTGGAGCTAGGTTTAAAGCCTAGCAGTCTGGTGGGTTAAAAAGGCTTTCTGACCAGCCAGAAAATACAATAGTCCTGAAAATAGTCCAGGATTAATTCATTCATCCACGTGTATCCAAAAAAACAGATATACAGTATACACGGAGAAGGAAAGGAGAAAGCACTAAGCCAGCTATATAACACTTGGTATGGATATAGTGTCAAGGATTTGGGATAGCACGGAGGGAAGGGATGGTGCCAGCCACTTAACTCTGTAAGATTGAGTGATGGTCTTGCTTCTTGCAGGTTGACGTTCATTCCCAGACCGTCCAAGTGGTTGGGCGCCATTCCTCCCCCACCCCCCCACCCCGTCCCATCCCAAATCCTTGTCCACGTATCCTTTCCAAGTCCTATATAGCCGCACCGCCTATCTTCCCTTCTCTGTGCAAGCCTGGATAACTGTGAGGTTGATAACTGTTTTGAAATTGAGTAGTTGAGGAGTCCGAAAAACGGGTTGACTAGACATGAAGACATGACTAGACTATACTAGCTGAAGGAAAGGCGACTGACCTTGAGTGGGGCGTTGATAACCCCGAGGTTAAACCCGTGCTGGAAGGCCGAGCCGAAGGCAGCGGCTGAGATGGCAAACGCGAGCCTAGCGTTCAGTCCCTGCAAGTAAAAACACCATCAAATTAATAACATTTCAATTTTCACCCTAATACCTCCAACACCTTTATTTAAATTACAAAAATAATATCATCAAATTGCATTATATATATATATATATATATATATATATATATATATATATATATATAATATATATATATATATATATATATATATATATATATATATATATATATATATATATATATATATATATATATATATATATATATATATATATATATATATATATATATAGTTCCAGCGCCTCAGTGTTGCGATTCAGAGGGGAAATGCCTGTTGCGTCTTGGGCACTAGTCCAACTTCAGAGGAATTCGAAGAAGTGTTTGACTTGCAACAATGATCGAACCCGTCTGTGACATTCATCAATGTTTCCCATTGTTGTGTTCTTCAAGAGATCCATAACCTTTAAGCACCTTTTTGCATTATTATTTTTGTATCAACCCATGTATATCTTGTAACCATCAAATGCATAATAAAGCACAAAAAATATTCAAGGAAGGGGGTGGTAGGAGAAAAGCACACAGAAACTGTATTGGAGGGGATCTAAACATTCCCTCTAATGCGTTATGCGTGGTTTCCTCCGAGGCTATGGGTCCCCCTTCTTCCAGCTAGAGGTGGTACTCCCTTCTATATATATATATATATATATATATATATATATATATATATATATATATATATAATATAAAATCAACTAGTATAAAAATCAACTAGTATTGTAAGATCTGTTCACTTGAGAATGAACCATGAAGGTTCGAAACGTCGTGCAAATTATACAAATAAGTATATATATATATATATATATATATATATATATAGCTGTACAAAAAGAGCAGCACCCTTCAGACCAGTACCGCAAACTCGAAAGGGTAAAATCATGTAGCTATAATTAGCCTGCAGTTTGACGCCACCAAGTACCAGTAATCTAAGTTACGCTTCACTAAAAGGATTAATATTCCATCACCATCAATTATAAAAACCTATCATCAATAGTTATTAGCTTGTAAATCATGCTAACTATAAATATATATGTAGTACCTAAAATTCCTATTTCAAATAATGAAAAATGTCAGTGATAGTAGGAAGACAGCCTAGCGCAGGCCGGGGCTGAAGGCCGACTGGGGGAGTGTGAGTGGACGTCCTTGGTAATACAGTTACTTCCAGACATTGTCGCACTTCTTACTGGTGTAGCATATAGGCTCGTACCCAAAGGTTAAACTGTAGGAGTATAATGTTAAACTTGTCGACGCTCTGCTGACGGGAAAAGTCTCCGAGAATGGCAGGCGGACAGGATTAGGGCGTTACCTCACAGCCTAATGACTGCCAAGAAATTACAAGATAAGAATTACATCTTTGATAAATTTCTTTGATATTTCATTAAACATTTCTCGACCATCCACGTTATCAGCATTCGCCATCACTAAAGTCAAATTGAATTCGTTTGACTTAAGAACAATATTTTTCAGACCTGTCTAAAGAATATTACAAAAATTATGGGTTGTACTATAAGGAATGTTGTCTTTTTCAGTCATTAGAGGCCGTCACTCGAAATTTGTCAGGGAATAATTTGTTAAGGTCAACCCGGACTTGATTTGCAGTCCACAGACTATCTACATTGTCTTATATTTAGTTATAATTCATGTAATATATTTGAATAGTAATACAATAAGAACATTTAGTAATTATAATATATTTCTTTATTCACAGGACTCCACAATGGGTTGCCTAGATACACATTTTAAGAGATTAATTCGTACATTCACGCAATTTGGTATAAATTGTTAACAGTGAACCTAAATGTGTATTATTCAAATAAGAACCGAATCATATTTTGCGAATGATTTTGTTATGATATTATAACAAATGTGAGAACAAGCAGACTGTAGTGAGGGGTATACAGTCAGTCCGTCCTCCTAAGGTTTCCCTACGTCTAGAAAACGTCGTTCTAAAGTGTCCTCTCCTAACCTGCCAGAGAACCCAAAACAGAAAACGGGACAGTACGTCACTTTCGCCAGCCGCTTCCATTTTCTAATACGACAATTGTTGGGTTTATGTAACACATATGAGGGAAATGCGACGTTCTTTGTAAGATGTTTGTTATTGTTAAAGATTCGCTACCTGGAACAAAGTTCCAAGTAGCACGGGCTATGGTGAGCACGTAGGAGTTCTTCGTAAGACGGCAGGTTGGTGCGGTACGCGCCTCCTATTGGTCATTCATTGTCAGCAGCAAGCGGTTGGGCCCAGCCAGCCATGAACGTAGGACGGAAATTATTTCTGGAGATTTGCTAGTGTACGATTTTTATGTTCGGGAGTACGGTTGCCAAGCTTGTGTGAGACGGGTGCCAAGTTGGTGGGTAGTGTGGCTCACTGTGTGAGTGTGTGGCTCACTGTGTGAGTGTGTGGCTTGCTGTGTGAGTGTGTGGCTCGCTGTGTGAGTGTGTGGCTTGCTGTGTGAGTGTGTGGCTCACTGTGTGAGTGTGTGGCTTGCTGTGTGAGTGTGTGGCTAGCTGTGTGAGTGTGTGGCTTGCTGTGTGAGTGTGTGGCATGCTGTGTGAGTGTGTGGCTTGCTGTGTGTGTGTGGCTGGCTGTGTGAGTGTGTGGCTTGCTGTGTGAGTGTGTGGCTCACTGTGTGAGTGTGTGGCTTGCTGTGTGTGTGTGGCTAGCTGTGTGAGTGTGTGGCTCGCTGTGTGAGTGTGTGGCTCGCTGTGTGAGTGTGTGGCTGGCTGTGTGAGTGTGGCTGGCTGTGTGAGTGTGTGGCTCACTGTGTGAGTGTGTGGCTCACTGTGTGAGTGTGTGGCTCGCTGTGTGAGTGTGTGGCTGGCTGTGTGAGTGTGGCTGGCTGTGTGAGTGTGTGGCTCACTGTGTGAGTGTGTGGCTTACTGTGTGAGTGTGTGGCTTGCTGTGTGAGTGTGTGGCTCACTGTGTGAGTGTGTGGCTTGCTGTGTGAGTGTGTGGCTTGCTGTGTGAGTGTGTGGCTCACTGTGTGAGTGTGTGGCTTGCTGTGTGAGTGTGTGGCTCGCTGTGTGAGTGTGTGGCTTGCTGTGTGTGTGTGGCTCGCTGTGTGAGTGTGTGGCTTGCTGTGTGAGTGTGTGGCTCGCTGTGTGAGTGTGTGGCTCGCTGTGTGAGTGTGTGGCTCACTGTGTGAGTGTGTGGCTCACTGTGTGAGTGTGTGGCTGGCTGTGTGAGTGTGTGGCTCACTGTGTGAGTGTGTGGCTCACTGAGTGAGTGTGTGGCTGGCTGTGTGAGTGTGTGGCTCACTGTGTGAGTGTGTGGCTCGCTGTGTGAGTGTGTGGCTCACTGTGTGAGTGTGTGGCTCACTGTGTGAGTGTGTGGCTCACTGTGTGAGTGTATGGCTCACTGTGTGAGTGTGTGGCTCACTGTGTGTGTGTGTGGCTCACTGTGTGAGTGTGTGGCTCACTGTGTGAGTGTGTGGCTCGCTGTGTGAGTGTGTGGCTCGCTGTGTGAGTGTGTGGCTCACTGTGTGAGTGTGTGGCTTGCTGTGTGAGTGTGTGGCTCGCTGTGTGAGTGTGTGGCTCGCTGTGTGAGGGTGTGGCTTGCTGTGTGTTGCTCACTGTGTGAGTGTGTGGCTCGCCGTGTGAGTGTGTGGCTTGCTGTGTGAGTGTGTGGCTCGCCGTGTGAGTGTGTGGCTCACTGTGTGAGTGTGTGGCTCACTGTGTGAGTGTGTGGCTCGCTGTGTGAGTGTGTGGCTCGCTGTGTGAGTGTGTGGCTTGCTGTGTGAGTGTGTGGCTCACTGTGTGAGTGTGTGGCTCGCCGTGTGAGTGTGTGGCTTGCTGTGTGAGTGTGTGGCTCGCTGTGTGAGTGTGTGGCTTGCTGTGTGAGTGTGTGGCTCACTGTGTGAGTGTGTGGCTCGCCGTGTGAGTGTGTGGCTTGCTGTGTGAGTGTGTGGCTCGCTGTGTGAGTGTGTGGCTCACTGTGTGAGTGTGTGGCTTGCTGTGTGAGTGTGTGGCTCACTGTGTGAGTGTATGGCTCGCCGTGTGAGTGTGTGGCTCACTGTGTGAGTGTGTGGCTCGCCGTGTGAGTGTGTGGCTCACTGTGTGAGTGTGTGGCTCGCTGTGTGAGTGTGTGGCTCGCTGTGTGAGTGTGTGGCTCGCCGTGTGAGTGTGTGGCTCGCCGTGTGAGTGTGTGGCTCGCTGTGTGAGTGTGTGGCTCACTGTGTGAGTGTGTGGCTCGCTGTGTGAGTGTGTGGCTCGCTGTGTGAGTGTGTGGCTCGCCGTGTGAGTGTGTGGCTCGCCGTGTGAGTGTGAGACTCTATAGCCTTAAGGTTTGAGTAAGGGTGACAGATTAGTGCATGTGACTATCTAGAATGTTTATGACATGTCAACGTGCAGAGTGCCAGACATGACAGGAGCCAGGGTCACATGTGCCGGTGAAACATTGTTAGATAGTTTAGTTCAGTCAAAATTTGGCACTCGCGAGGTGTGACGCGACCACCCCGCCTGCCACACGCCTACCTCACTTGGAAGCAAATTCGGTCCTACTTAATAGTCTTTACTCTTATCCCAACATTGCAGACTTCCAAAAACCACTGTGTACTTCTACAGCCCAAGAACCCCTATTGAAGTAAAAAAAAAGCAATTCAGTTGGGACAGAACCATCAGGGATAAAGAACTTAAAGCTTTATTCGAAATAACAACAATACTCAGTGACTATACCCAGTTGTCAGAGATCTAAAGCGAAATCTAAAAGATCTAAAATCTCAGAGATCTAAAGACTGGCAGTATCTCTGTAAGGCTGAGGCTATCTGCCTCCGAGCCCCAAGTCTCATTGTAAACAAGTCTACAGAGCGGACAATCTAAGGGATGACACACAGGGCACAATAAAGTTCAAATCATTAAGAGACGCCATGTGCCGTGTGTCAAGCCAGGAGTCACATTTTCTAATGGTCCTATAATTATGCTGCCCTGTTGGTCTGCTAAATTACAACTGAAGGTTTGGTATCAGGAAAGAGACGAATG